TGGGAAAGCAAGTGATTACCAAACTAATGTGCTCAGGTTCAGCAATGGCCACGATAATGTGACTATTGCTCAAAGAAGGAGTTGAAGCACTTGCACTGCTTCAAGCAAAAGGACCAGTATCTTGAGAAATGACAAAGTGACTTTAGTGGAAAAAATGAAATGCTTGACCTATGTTTAAGTTCTTCTAAACGCCTCTAGACCAACTCCTCCGTATTTGAACTTCACACCATTAAACCTAACACATGTATAGTGGCTTTTCATAAAGCTTGACCTTTAAAAACAAGTCAGTGGTATTAGACAACAAACATTAACAAAATACTCCGGGTTATGTAGGGATAAATGAGAAAGTCCTTTTCCCCAAAGACGGTCAGATAGTTCAGGACTAATAGGGCCAGCCATGTATGCGTACGTCATGGGTCACCAGGGTCCCCAACCAAGCAAAGAGTTTATACAATTTCTTTTTTAATAGCAAAGCCACAGACCACACTCTATGACCTTACAAACCACTGAGATACCTTCAAATCACTACAGTATTTGGACATGAACAGGTCTCCCTTTAAATAGTGTGCCTATGTTTGGTTTTCAGGTCAGCTCAGGAACGCACTTTTGACGAGTGCCTCTGGTGTCAGCTTTGCTGGTTCATGCTGGGAATGCCTCTGGGATTCCCTTCCCAACTACCCCAAACAGAAACCCCACTCTCATCTTTTTTCCTTCCAACCATCAGAAATTAGGCATATCCTGATATCACATTATTTTTACACTTTGCGTAGTGCTGTAGTGTTGGAGCATGGGGAGAACCAACCAGCACTTATCCATCCCTCCATTTTTTCATTAGAACAGCTCTATATTTTCCACACTTTCAGGTAAGCACGACTTTCTCTCGATGATGAATTTTAAGTTCAGATCTGACACAAAGCAAATTCAGAATTTTTGATTTCCTCTCCTCAGAGATTACTAACTTTATTCTCTGATTATTCAGACACATAAAGACATGTATAGGCTCTGTAACTGCATCTATGTATTTTAAAGAAATGATACAGCTGCTCAACAGCCTCAACCTTAACAGCGTAATTACAGTCCGATGAGGCCTGGTAAATTCAAGTGGCAGAGGCTGAGGCTGCTTGTGACAGCAGAAGCTGGAGGAAAAAGCAACACAAACAAAACTTCATCCCTCCGCCCCCTGATTTCCTCCTCCTAAACAGTACCATAGTAAACCAGATGTGCATGTTATTGCCTGCTGGGGGGAAACTCTTAAATTGCAGCTTCTCCTTCCTCCTTGTCACACACACATCCAAAAAATGTAGCGATGCATAGAGAAACCCTGCAAGCAGTTTCATCACAGAGGGAAATGCCTGGAAAAATAAAAGGGAGGCTGCACTGAGTGTAAAGACTGCTCGATGTCAAGAGAAGGAGTATGTTCGGGAACCAAAGCAGAGCACATCCTCTCATTTTACATTTGATGGCTCTGTCTCCACTCAAGGGAGAAAAAAAAAAAAAAAGAGGTAAAGTTTGGTCTTGGGCACTTGCAACCAAGACATTATGATTAACCAAATAGTATTTTTACAGAAAAACCACGGCACCTTTGCAGCTTAGCTTTGCAATGATGGAGTGATGAAAAGCAAAGAGGCTGGACAAGTGGACTTCAAGGTTGCTTCTCCACCATAGCGAAAAGCTGATGGTTTAAGGGTAGGATACAACTGGAGTTTACTACAAAAGCAAGCCGAACACCTTCCCCCTACTCTGTGGACAGGGTAACCTGCAATCCAGCATGGTATCAGGCTCACGAGGTACACATCACAGGAAAAGCTTAAGTGGCACAGGTCTTGTGCAAGCCACACACTGGATTTTACCTCTGGAAATAATGGAGTTACCAGGCAACTCCTGTTATGTTTTGGGGTGGGAGTTGAGCAACCCATCCATATCCCCGTGTACGTCTCTGGTGCAATCAGAAAACAAACTCCCACAGTCCCTGCACAGCATGGAAACCAGCCTCCTTGCACGAAAACCATCACATCTTGCTGTTCTTCTCAAACGTCCAGTACATCAGAGTGAAAAGGGCAGAGCAGGAAAGAGAAAAGCACCCACTGTGCTCTACTAGCTTTTATCAGTCAGTGCTCAAAAACATGGTCCACACAATCATGTCAGAGCCACATTGGACAGTTTGCTGAGAAGGTTCAGGTGGATTGAAGGTCTCACAAGCCAGAAAATGCCAACACGTCACCCCGCGAAGTCCTCTTCCTCCTTGTCACTTCTTGGGCTGTGTGAAGCCACTGCCAAAGCCATCTCTGAGAACAAGTGTATTCATTAACCTTTATGAAAATGCCTCACCAGACAAACTTAAGTCAGGTGACATTTTATAGGCAGTGAGTGATTTTCCAGGAATGCTTCCGTACGGGTTAGTAATGTATTTGGATAAAATTTCAGTGTTGTTTTTATGGCTTAGAGCGGGAAGTGCAATTTAATGACGAGGAATGGGAATTGAAGGAGCCTGCCCAGGGAACGGCACTGAGCTCCCACTCTGCTCCAGAAAGGAACATTTCCACTGAAGGACAACAACGGAGCAGCTCTGGCATGCATTAGAAAATACGTATGTTTCATTTTTCTAAAATCCCTACTTCATTTTTCCTCTAAAACTTTGGGGCCAAACCCTTTATATCATTAGGTTTTCAGTCAGAATTCGACCATAAAAAGGCAAACCAAGACAGAAAAAGTCTTCTGGCCACTTCTTCTCCCTCTGCCTCTGGCTTCCCACTTGCACATATTGGTCCCCAAATCTCTCCGTGACAACTTTCCACCACCCCCAAGTGCCTTCTTTTGAAAAGCTATGAATTTTACTCCTCTGCCTATAAACTCTCTCCAGACACGAACATCATTCTCTTTCAGTGAAGAAACTCTGCTCTTAGTTGAATTTAAATCATGGCACGTAATGACTGCCAGAAGACGTAGGTGGAAGGACAGAGTGGTGCCTCTGTGCTGACCCTGAGGACTTTTATCATTTTCCACAGCCCTGCATCAGGGCTACCCACCACTATGCTTTCATAGGCTGGTTGTGCCACGTCTGGTCACAGCACCCAGTGGGAGCCCACGGCCCTCAGGACTGAGAGCACGTGGAAGTCTCCAAATCTCTCGCAAGTGGGACGGAAACCCATGATAAACCAGATTTGTGTGTGGGATGCCAGCTGGTAACCCTCATCTGCGACACAAGTTGAGATAAGCGCTGCTAACATATTTCAGTAGTCCTGCAGTTTTATTAAGCCCTACATAAATAAATAAAGTGCAAACCAACTCAATCTCAAACAACCCATGCCCACAGCCTGAGATTTACATTTATCAAGAATATGGGAAGATTGATAGAGGAAGGTATGGCAATTCGAGGAATTGCTAGCTCTCGGGAAGGCAATGAGCTGTCATGTTGCATTCCACTGTTTTCTTTACTGAAGAAATAAGCCATGGGAAAACTCTTGAAAAAATAGCATGAGAACATTTCAATTTGATTTTTACAAATAGGTACTTATCAAACTGAACTACTCCTTAATAACAGGATCGTGTTTCCCTCTGCCAAGCACAGTGCTATTTAGGAGCTGAAGAATATACCACAAATAGAAATAATAACCAATGTTTTGTACAAAAAAGCCACAGATGTATTTTTTCAATGTATGGACCATAAATATTGTTAGGGAAGAGAAGCACTAAGCATACACCATCTGGCACACATCTTTTACTTAAACACCAAATTTGTTAGCAGCTTTATTTCAAACATGCATCTTAGTCTAACGAGGCCACTCCAGCTTCCAGCACTGCATTATGTTGTCTCAATACAGTCGAAAAACTTCCATTATAATTCAATTTTCTGCATTTTCTGAGGTACTGTTTCACTTTGTAAAATTGGGTCTAATGCATTCTAGGAGCTCAGCTGCTTGAAATCAAAGAGGTTTCAGCACAGGGAACTTCAGCACAGCAGCAGAACTGCCCATCAGAATATATTGGGCTTCACTGCTGCGGGCAGCTTACAAACACCAAGTCACTTCTGGCGACAACTAGTGCCGGGGGTTAAGCTATGACTGCGAATCCCCAATCCATCCGTCGCTTCCCTCTTTCCTCTGTAGTCAGAGAATCTCCGTATGCTCCACATCCAGCCCCTACACTGGGAGCTCTCAGTATATTCAGGGGTTTTATTACTGGCTCCTGCAAAAACCTAAGCAGCTATAAACTTGTCATGTTTTGGACGTCAGCAATGACCGTGGCAAGGGTGTTCTGACTAAGTTTCCCTGAATTACCCAGTTATTTATCAGTTGCACAAAAATAAATATTGACTGTTCTTTGCACTCTCCTCTACAAATACAAACCCACCAAAAAAGCTCAAAAGGCTAAAGAAAAATAGGAGCCCCTGAGTAAATATGGAAAAGAGCTTGTTATTTGCTCATGGATTTTCCTGCTATGTTTCAGACTTCCATTGTATTAAATAATGGCATTTGGAGAATAACCTTAAATAAAGAGGATCTAATTTTACTGTAAGAGAGAATCTGAATAGCTAAGGGTTTCTTTTTATTATTATATATTTTTAAAGTAAATTGTCCACAAGGAAAAGAAAGCCCAGAGACCACTTTTTCAGCCACTGCAGTTTTCCCTTAGGTAAGACTAAGGCATACACACTGGTTCAGGCATGGGTTTGAAAGAGTCAAGGACACTTAAGTCTGGAGCTCTGCCCTGGATTCTTGTCTGCAAGTTTCCTGCTTTCATCTCTCCTCTATTTATAAATGGCACAGCTTAAAGTTTCAAATACACTTGCGATGTAGCAGATCCCCACATTTACATGCCCAACTTTGGGTGCCTTTCTTCAGTTCTCCAACACAGCAGCTTCAGCCACTGAGTCTGCAGGATGCAAAAGAACCATGTGCAAGGAGCAGTTCTTGCTATCTCCATCTGAAAACCCACTCAATAAAGATACTTAAAACCAGACAACACTTGAAAATGTGGTGCTTTTGTTTATTTGCCTGCACCTTGCCCAGAACAAGCAAAAGAGCAACGGAGATGATGGAGAAACCAGCCTCCACTCGAAGCTACTCACATAGACCAAACATGAGTGCAAGGATGAATGCATATAGTAGTAACCATGGCATGACCTCAGGCAGGGCTTCTTTTTTACTGTAATAATAAAATATATTTATACATATAAATATATATATCCATGTGTGGGGGGGCTTGACACTTTTTCAATTTTTACCCATTACCTGGTGAATAAAAACACACCTTCTCTTGACCTCAGTGTGTTTCCCGTGAGAATTTTAGCTTCCCTGTCCCTGGGCACCAGTGTAAGGTCCGAGGAGATCGCATGCGCTGTTTCCATTCCAATAATGCTGGTCAAACAGAGCAAACCATCTCCTGGCCAGCTTCAAGCTACAGCTTGTGGAAGGGGGGAATCCAGTGGTGGTGGAAAGGGAAGCCAGGAGTATCAAACAGGGAGGGCAGCTGGGGTTACCGGGGATGGGCTCGGGGGAGATGGGACAGACCCCAGAAGAATAAATTTCACCATTTTTGCTGCTCACTTGTGCTCAGAAATAACCTTCGGAAGGGAAACACAAAATCTATGTATTAATTCATTCGGAAGTAACTGGATGCAGTTAAATGGTCTGTGTTATTCTGTATGATGGAATGGCCTCTTAGCACATGACAGTAGATGTCAAGCTCAGCTGCCAGTATTAAGGTCAAAAAGAGACACCCCAAACTCTCTAACCTTACAAGCAAAAAAGTATAGCAGCAAAAACACAAGTTAAAGGCAGTTAAAAGCAAAAGCTAAACCAAGTATTTGCCGGGCTGTCAGACCTTCATTTTCTGCCCCTATCTTTTCCTCTACTAACAGTGTGAACCTGATGAGCCCGATCCAAGACACTCTACTAGGAAGAGGAGATGCTCCCCTTTCTGCATGAACATACCCATGGAAATTTTAAGAGTAAATGGATACAGCTTTTGAAACGAAACAGTGCGTAAGCAATTTCAAGATCCTACACACATATATTTTTTTCATAAAGCATGGGCTTGAGCAAAGCATTTTTTTTTTGCATAAAAATCAGACACTAAAAGATTATTTTAATGCTTCCAGAGAAAACAGTCTCAGTGTTACACCTAATGGGATGCATTTCGGGCACTGCCAGGCCCATTAGATCCCAGGGGTGCTGGCGGGAGCCTGCCCATTTACTGCTCAACAGCCTTAGGAGGTGGAATTTCAGTTAGAAAGAGAGAAAATGTTAATCTCATCCCTAGCTGTGAAGGGGAAAACGAACCCAAATGAAAGCTGCGCTTTCTAGGGCAGGGAGATGAATCTCCCTTCGGCCGGCATGTTCCCCACTCCTCACCCGTCCCTTTCTCCATCCCTTCCAGGAAATCTGGTCGGCAGGGGGTTATTTTCTGGGAGGGGATAACATTACACCATGGTCACCACCACTGTGCTGAACAACAGCAAAGCCAAGGCAAGTACGCAAACGAACGAGGGTTAACTCAGCACGTTAAATCAGTGTGAAAGTGCCCAAAAACACAGCAACCTCATCATGGTGCTGCTGTGTACTCAGTGGGACTTGGGGGAAAAAAAGTGTATTTTTGTGACGTGCATGATGGAGGCATGTGGAAGATAATACAGAGATAATAGCAAGAACTTTAAGAAAAGAAAATAGTGCGACTATTTTCTGTGAGCAAGTGATGACAATCTTGCTCACAGCTGAGGGCATCACAGGCACAACACAAAGTTAAAAAGCACTTCAAAATATGAGTGTACAGGTAATTGCCTAGTTCTAGATGTTGCCATTTGTGATCTGCTTGCCGTTTTCATATTCAATTAAAGCAGGCAACAGAAACATGATAACTAACTGATCTCAGCCTCGATTTTTAAATTTAAGTCTGTTCTTTTGTTAACAAAGTGAAGAAAAACCTTCCATCTTTAGCCAGTTTGGAGAAGTTTGTAACTGGCAGGTGGATAAGCAGCAGGTTGCAAAAAGGAAACACATGTGTGTTGAACACATTTTTGGGAGTGATTCACATGTCTGAATTAGTGTTACAGCTCCCTGTATGCAAGCTCTTATTTGCCTGACTTTAGAGGCTTTAAATAGTCCTCTGAACATCAGGGAGCAAGTTAAGTGGAGTATAAGGCGATAAGACTTGTAAACTCTGCCCTCAGACAGCAAAAGCTGCCAGCTCCCCCCAGAAACAAAGAAAGTGGAGAGCCTTTATCACCACAGAGACTTGTGAGCGTCCACGGGTGCCCTTGCTTCGCAGGTTTATCTCCTGTTGACTCAAACCAAGGACAAGATTAGACTCAACACTCAAACTGCAGCTGTTCTGCTGCAGCGCAGGAGGCCCAACATTCCCGAATTCCCCTGCAACACGGCCTGCAACATGGATGTAACTGTTGGTACATGGATGCAGGTGCTCAAGGAACCTGCAAGCGAAGGCAAGCGGGAACACATCCACTCCATCGATATGGGCTTGGGGCTGGCACAGCACCCAGGTCGCCTTGTAAATAAGCCCTTTTTATGTCTATTGAGCAAACATTCGATAATCTAGGGTTTATAGGTGATGAGTTATTTCCACATGAAATTCTTACTGTTTTAAGACGAGGTACTTTTAAAAGCACTGAGCAGATAGCCAAAAGTAAACACCCGGCAATGATTTTGAGGCTTTATCAGGTATGAAATAACCTTGAGGGCAAATACTCTCCTGAAGAGCAGCAGCACACATTTTACACATCCTACCTCGCAAATGCTGTGCTGTGTGTCTTCCTGTGGCACTTTGGTCCAGCATACGGCACCAAACTGCTCAGATCCCAGGCTTTTTTTTTTTTTTTTTAAGTTTGGATTAGGAATTATTGTGTGCTACTCGGCATCACTTAAATTAAAAGCATTACTTCAAAAGAATAAATGTTATCACCAGATGTCATCCCCTGGGACACGGCCTCAGAAATTACATTTCCCTCTTACAGTGTGGAAAGCTATTGAGTATGTGGCGTCCCCAGAAACGCTGTGGACAACATGGACTCTCAGTTAGTTTGAAAAATGCATTTAATAAATGACAGGATTTGCATTTGATGCCAGTCTCATCTCCATTCTCTTTGTATACATAGAGGGCTTTATCAAAATCCTAAGGCATGGCTATGAACACAAGAAGATTGCCTGCAATAACCAGATGCATTTAAGAAAAGGGAAGACCGATACGAAGAATAATATAAAGGCAGCTGTGGCAGTAGTTGTTCTAGTAGTGGTACCTCCAGTGGGTTTTGCTGCCACAAAGTAGAAAGATGTGCAAACCCAAGAAGGCTATTTCTCCATGGCCTCATGCTCAACCTACCTTGCAAAATAGATTCAGTAAGTATTTAACAGCTGCCTAAGCTTACCTTTCTAAGACAATTAAAGCTGCCTTAAAGGAATAATGTCTCCTGCCAGATGCCCAGCAGCTCACAATATTTTTGGACACATGATGGGGCCAGGCTACCTCCAGGAGCAGAGCCACCTCAATGTCCTTGGCACTGAAGACCCCATAGGGGCAAAGCAACAGATGCATTCTTGCCAGGTACCTAATACTGAGCCACTTTCAGTGCACGTGGGGAAGGAAGGATAGGAAGGATTCACTTTTTCATCCTTTGATGGCCCCTCCTCTTCTACACAACCCTTTCAAAACATTTTAAGCCAATATTAATCTAACTGATTTGCTCTACAAATGAAGTGTTAAGCTACTGTGAAAGTTGCTAGCTTCATTTAAGGCACTGTAATCAAAAAAGAAAAAAAAAAAGACAAAACAAAGTATTTGTCTAGTAGAGCTTTCCTTACTTGTACACTTGACACAAAGTTATACATATGCAATAAGATGGAGTGTATGTGCACTCATGTACTTGCAAAGGCTTGAAAGATGTCCAAGATATCCAGCAACTTAACCCAAACCCACGTTAGAACAATACAACCCAGGTTTCAAAGACTATACCATTTTTTTTTCTCCCGACCATTTGCCATAACATGGATGACTTATTCATCCTTCCTTTCTCAAAGCACAAAGTTCCTGATAACAACTGGACACTGTGATTTGTCTCATGCATAGAGTTTTTCTAAAGCTTCAACTATGAGTGATTTAGTGCATTGCCTACGTTACATTTGAATAGCAAAATCAAAAAACCCAAGTTATTCCAAAAGGATACTAACAAAGTCTGGATACCACCCTTCCAGGATTGTACGCCTACTCTCCAGAAAACCTGCTTTCGGATTTTGAAGAAGTTATTACTAATATTCTTCATATTCTCCCATTACTACACCTCAAAGAGATACTCTAATTGTAGCCTCAAAACCTTTTGGGTTAAAATTGAAACACTGGCAAACTTCTGAAGTAGCTTTTCTCTGAATATTTGTATTGCTACTTCACAGTCCATTGACATATCTAGAAAAGACTGGAGGAGAGGAGGGCATTTTTGTGCTAAAAATAACAAACAAACAAATTAGTTTCTGCTTGCCGCTATTTAACTGTCACACTATAAACCTCTGTGCTGCCCTGCAGTATCAGAAAGGTCTGGCTACACCCACCACACGCTTCAAAGGGAGTGAATGAGTCCCACCAGCACCACTCTTTGCCATGGGCATCCCAGTCCCAAGCAAGGATCTGGATCGGCCCTTGTGCTTAGACACTGTGCCCTGCCACCTTAGCTCCAGATACATAGGAATGACATGGAAATCCAGGAGAAAACAACCTTGGTAAAGCTTCTCAGTTGAGACAAAGATCCTTACTGCCTCAAGAAAAAAATGGAGGGACAAAAACAAGTGATAATTCTGTTGCACATTCCTTTTTTTACTACCCTTCTCGTACTCTAGTTTAATTAATGCTGTGGGGTAGTTACTACCTTTAATAGAAACACTCCAAAACAAATGCCATGGCACCCTGCACTTTTTTTAGAGAGCTCAGAGATGCCACCTAGACTTCCCAATAGGTCACTGAAGGAAGAGAAAATAAACTACCACCCTTTAATATTTGACCTGCCAAGTAGTCCTTTCAAAAGATAATCTAAATACAGCAATAATGCCAGCATTTAAGAAGATGAGTTGAAATTTTAGCTCTGTAAAGACTGTAATTAGCATATAGAAGCAGACTAGATATTTTCTTTCACATATGTCAGACATAATGAAAGATTTTGCTAAAGCACCAATAGATGTGATAATCACAGGAGCAGTCCGCAACGTATTGCACTTGCTTGACTTTACCGTAAATGTCACATGCCCACAGGTGTTCCACTAGAATATAATTTGCTGTAAAATGTAGTTTTACCTTAACAAAATAATACCTTTGCATTTTATTTTTAAAATAAAAAGAGCCTGCACCTCACTCTGAAATTGCAGTGAAATTTTCTCCATTTCATGTGAGTAGGCACACATTGGTTTGACTCACTGACTGCTTGAAAACTTATTATTCCATTTCCAGGATAATTCCTAAGAGAAACCACTGTAATGTAAGCATTTCATGCTGGCGAAGCACCATCCTTACATGGAGTGATGATATAAAACGGAAGATGAAAAAATCGCCAAACCCAGGTTATGGATGTAAGAACTCCAGCCCTTCCTAAAGGTCAGACGTGCACAATCCTCTACTGAAAAAGAAACCTAGAGACTCTTTCTAAGATTTCATACAACACGCCTTCAACTCTCAGGGCCAAACTTGCTTGCTGTGGTGCAGTTAATCACAATTAGGAAGGAATCAGGGCTAATGAGACTCAAACTACTCTTGACTCATTTTCTGCTATGGTTGATCATTGTACCCTGTGAGTTTACCCACTAATAAGTGGATGCTAATATCTGGGAAAATAATTTAATTTTTGCCCCCCCCCTTTTTTTTTTCTCTCTCTCCCTTCTCAACCCCCCCCCATTAGTGCAGTGTCTGTGCCTATATTAAGATACAGCACAGTCAACATGAGCTATTTTCCCAATATACTATTTCTTCTAAGTACCCAAAATACTTGAATGACAACTTACAAGCAAATACAACAAGGCGAGCAAACAAAACATCCCTTGGGCTTTATCATCCACTCTCTAATCTAAATTTATCATGAAACAGCCAGCATGCTTCAAAGTACAGAAAAGAGAAAGGATAAGGGATTCATCAATGATTAATAAATTGCCCTTATCTGATTCTCTTATGGAAGATACACAAGTCAAAACGTCCTGTGACAGCTGTAGCTTCTAGGCAGCCTTTCTACTGCCGAGCGCTTCTTCCATCAGCATCATAAAAAATTATCAGTGCTGCTACGTCCAAGCACACACACACACACGCAGCGCTTCAGCCATCGCCTGTATGCATAAGCTTCAAAACCTGTCCAAGAAGATAAAACAGGATGCTTTATTTCTACAACA